AGACCAGCCAGCCAACAAGACCAACCAGCCTACCGAACAATAGTTTTACTACCATATGTAGATGGTGAGGCCAGCCAGCCAACAAGACCAACCAGAACAAGAACAACAGTTTTACTACCATATGTAGATGGTGTATCCCAAACTTTGCGTAGATGCCATGGTATTCGCACTGTTTTCAGATCCGAAACAACTCTTCTGAAGCAACTAATTAGCAACACCTTAATACATCAATAGGGATTGCTGTATTGACTTACCGGAAGTGATGGGAGACAAATTAATAAGTATACTTTTAAAAGCATATTTCACGTGTGAATTTGAGGTAAAAAATACTGTATTATAGACTTATTATACTGTTATTTATTAAACATAAGAATTTAGATTATTAATGTTTGACTTAACTGAGAATCGAAAAATTTAACCGATAACTGAGAAACTGAAAACTGATAACTTTATAAAATCCAAGGACCTAAATGACTGGAAAGCCTATAAAGAAATGCGAAACAAAGYAAATAATGTTATTAAACGTGCTAAAGAACACCACTATAAGAATGCCTTAAATATTTATGAAAAAAATTCTCGAAAGATTGGCAAACCATAAACGAAATAACGTCTCGTAAATCAAAGGATACAGGTGTCAAGGAATTGAAACTTGATGGTCTTGTAACAAATAAACCTTCCGAATTATCGAATGCATTTAACGAGTATTTTGCAACTATTGGACCAAAACTTGCTGAAGAGATTCCTCAATGTAAGGATGAAGAAGGTGAAAATGGTGTGAGTCATCTCCACTATCTCATTAGCACTGAAAATCAATTTCAGTTTAGCCCTATTACTGAAAGTAAGGTATTCTCTCTCCTGAATAACTTAAACACGTTAAATACAACAGGTTTGGATATGATATCCAGAGTCATTCGAGAATGTGTAGTCAAGATGTTTGAAAGGATAGTATATGATCAGTTCTATTCATTTTTATCTGAAAATCATATAATCTCCAAACACCAATCTGGATTTCGTTCCTTACACTCTACTGTCACGGCATTAATAGAGACAACTGATAGCTGGGCATATAACATCGATCGTGGCAATGTAAATGCAGTAGTGTTCCTATATCTAAAAAAGGCTTTTGACACGGTCGACCATGAAATTCTTTTGTCTAAGTCGTGTACATATGGAATACAAGGAGTTTCCTTAAATTGGTTTAGATCGTATCTCGACAACCGCACTCAACAATGTCTAGTCAATGGCTCATTATCTGAACCATGTAGCCTAAAATGCGGTGTACCACAAGGACAATCCTGGGACCTTTGTTATTCCTGTTGTACATAAATGATCTACCTAATTGTCTTCTAAGTTCTAAACCAAGAGTGTATACAGATGACACTAGTCTGACATACGCTGATAGTGATCCAACATTGATTCAATCAAGTCTTAATACAGATCTGAGAAACATCAGCTGTTGGCTTTCAAAAAATAGACTTAATTTAAACAAGACTAAAACAGAATTTATGTTGATTGGATCACAGCAAAAACTCAACACCCTTGCTGCTACACCAGTCCTCGAGTTAAATAGTGAAGTACTAATTACTCAAGTGAGTACAACGAAATCCCTTGGTGTACTCATAGACTGCAATCTTACCTGGAAAAATCRCATTGAAAAGCTTTCCAAAAAAATTGCTTCAGGTATTGGGGCCCTAAAGCGAATTAGGCCATTCGTCCCATTATCAACATTACACATTATTTATAAAGCATTGGTACAGCCCCATTTCGACTATTGTAACGTCGTTTGGGGTAATTGTGGAAAAACTCTCTCAAATAAACTACAGAAGCTCCAGAATCATGCAGCACGGGTGTTGACCTTCTCTAATTACGATGTGGATGCCGGGGCTTTGATTGAAAAACTGGGATGGTCTACCCTTAGTGTTCAAAGACAAAAACAAAAGGCCATCTTAGTTTTCAAGGCCCTACATGGTACCACTACTGAATACCTTAGCTCTAAATTTGTATTCAAGAGGGATACCACTTGCTATTTATTACGAAACTCCGCCAACAAACTGAGCATTCCTCTTCCGCGCACCAATTGTCTCAAAAACACTGATTTACCTACAGTGGTGCGCAATTATGGAATAGTCTGCCAAATAACTTAAGGCAGGCAGAGTCTCTCAAAGAATTTCATAGACTATTGGGAACCTATTATGTATAGTAAAGCACGGCATTCATGGAAAGCAGGTTTTTTATTTTATTTTATTAGATTAGATTACACTTAGTGTAGATTAGTTGATTATTTTAAATATTTTGTAAATCCTGATGATTATACCGTGGCAAAAGTTTTATGTACTGTTTAATAAACGAGCAGGAGTGTTTTATCGGGTATAAAACACGAGGCGTAGCCGAGTAGTTTTAGACCCGATAAAACACTCCTGCTCGTTTATTAAACAGTACTTAGAAAACTCATTAATAATTCATGAGGAAAACACAATAGAAATCATGACCATGAAGGTGATTTTATATCGGATAAAGATTCGTCTTCATTTGCATAAACTTTAACTTGGACTTTCTCTATCAAACTTGGTTCATTTCGTAAAAAAATCGGTACACAATGAGAACAAACATCATAAGTTTTCTAAGCCGTTCAATAAACGAGCAGGAGTGTTTTATCGGGTATAAAACACGAGGCGCAGCCGATAAAACACTCATTAATAATTCATAAGCTTATGGTCCAATTGGAGCCACCATACAAGTCACGTGCATGAACCTTTATACCCGATAAAGTCCTCTTCATTAGTATTCAAGTGATTTTATATAAAGACACATGTGTCTTTATATAAAGACACATGTGTCTTTATATAAAGACACATGTGATCTTTATATAAAGACCACTCGAATACTATGAGGATGACTTCATCAGGGATGAGGTATGCATCCAAGTTTAGATGAAGATAAAGAGCTTCATCAAGGTCATAGTCAACCCTAATGATCTTTGACTAACGTGCCTGTCTTTGCCTTGGCACGCAATACCCAACGTGTGGGAGCTTCTATTGAATCTAGTTGCGCATGCCCGTGACGTCAAATCTCTATCGAAGTATAAAAAGCCATGTTCGTGACGTGTATGGTGACTCCAGTTGAACCAAAATCTTTTAAATTGTTCATGAGTGTTTTAAGCAGTTCAAAAAACTCGTAGATCGTGTTTTATCAGGTATAAAAGCATTCGGCTACGCCTCGTGCTTTTATACCTGATAAAACACTCCTACTCGTTTTTTAAACACTACATCTACCTATCTATATCTATCTAAAATTGATAAAATTTAGCTGTTAACTGATACTGGGACACCCCCCCCCCCTTCCCCATTCAGACCCTGGTGCCACCTACATCTGGTGGCCCGCATCTCCTGGCCCCACACGCATCTGGTGGCCCCTTGGCCATAACTCGGGAACGAAGCATACTATGGTAACGAAACTTGGTAGCATTGGTGAGACTTGTGTTGTGACGTGAGGTCACATATCGCGTGACTTACGGACAAAACAATCACGAACTCCATTCACGCCTCTCGTTATATATTTTGAAAGATGTCAGCCAATCACAGAAGGCGTCCTATTGAGCAAAATCTCTTCCTGTTCAAGAGTTTGGTCGGGTTTGTTTTGCCGCCATTTCGATTGTCTTATGGAATCAGTCCATAAAATTGGAAGATAAGATGGACATTGGAAAAAATTGCCCATACATTTGGAATATTTCCTCTTTTCGGTCTTTTTCCTCTCTTTCCAAAGCAAAACGTTGTTCTTAAAAGTAAAGTTTTTTCGAGTTTTCGAGGCTATGAAACCTAAGAAACCATAAGAGGCGAATGTATAGCCCAATAGATAGTATGAGCTCATAAAATCAGCAAAAATACGGTTCTAAATTTTAACAAATTCCTATGAATTATATACCAAAATGTCCAGGAAAGCCCGGGGTTTTCAAATCCACTTCTGTTTTTTTGACAGGTTCTGTTTTATTTGAAGGAGAGACGATTCTCTAGCTTGACCCCGGTTATGTCATGCATTTTCTCTTGTAAAATACATCCAACAGCGTACATTCAACTCAAAAAGTACGGTGGTTTTTTCCAATAGAATTCAATCTAAACCATAAAATACAGTCCGTGAATAGTTGAATTAACTGAATCCACTTCTGTTTTTTGCCTAGATAGTCATTATTTTGAGAAAAGATCCAAAAACCGTGTTTTGAGACATAATTCGTATGGGCTCACATGAGGGGGCATGAGCTTGAAATCGTAGCCGACCAAATGTTAACAGATTTTTTCTGATGATTCAAGTACGAGAAGGAAGATATGTATGTCTTGCAACTGGATTTGCAAAATACTTTTGTTTTCGGTTTTTGGCTGAATGATTGAGATATTTCATTCACTAAAGGTTGCCGATGAAGTCAGTCGAAGATTAGCCTGCTGTGCAGATGTTATAGAGTCGGCTCGTTCCTTTCCCTCTCCCCCTTTGTGGGGAGGGAAAGGAACGAGCCGACACTAAGAACGTCTGCACAGCAGGCTAGTCGAAGATAGGCGAATATTTACTTTAACTGCTCTCATAAAATCAGTACCTAGTTCACATTAAATATTACTTACATTTTGTCAGCTCTTGTTTGTAAGAGACAAGAAGATCTTACAGAGAAAGATGAGCGAACGCATATAAGAAAAGTAGGAGGTCAGTAACTCGCGCGGTATGACGGCATGCTGGCTTTGAATAGCCGTTGAGATATCAACACACTAATTTATTCCATAGAATTGATACAGTCTTATTGATCTTTAGGTAGTATTTATATTGTCTAGATTGATTCTATCTTCTAAACAGATGGAAGCAAGTTTATTATTGATTGCTCAACGTCTGACAACGATACATTTGCTCAATAAACCCTTACCACGATTCTGCGTTTTTTATTCTATCTACTTCAAATGAAACTTTATTTAGTTATAAATAAACAATTAGTTGACAGAAAGCGTGGAAATGCTAAAAAAAACCTTTTAACGGCTTAGAGGGAATTTATCAAATATGCGCAAGCCTCGTTTTCGTTCGCACAGAAAATAAGTTAAAGTGTGATAAATTGAGCGGCCACAACCCACAATGGAGCGAAAACTACGGCTTATGGCCATCAGTCTAACGATATGTTAAAACAAACCCTAAAAATGCTAAACATATTAAAATCCGATATGAAGGTTTGAAATTATAATGATCAAAAAAATCGGGAAAAAACTTCATTGGTGATGGAATTGATTTCGATCTTTTCGAAAGGTTATTTCCTCTTCGCCTGTCCTGTCTAATAAACGAGTCGGTCATGAGGTTGATCGATGACCTGAGGTTTAGTTACAGGCCTTATCATATCCAGTTTATATATTCGTATGAAACCGCACGCAGCAGATCAGATTTGAATCCACCACAGGTAGCCCAAGATATGTCACGTTCTCTGGTATCATATTATTTTAAAAATGTAAATAATTAAATTGTAAAATAGAGTAAAGAAATATTAGATGACTGTTGTAAAATAGTACTTCTTTCGCCCTGTGTGGTTAGATTTTGGATTAAGCCAGTTTAAACGTTTTTTTTTAAATCGGATATAATACCACAGAAACCTAGCTTGTGATGGCATGTGATTCCACATGTGACTGCAAAATGAAGCGGAACATCCTTCGTCAAGTCGCGTCTGATTCAATCAAAATGCTCGGACTTGAAAACTTGACCTATCCATCGATTACCACAAATATTTCTATTTAAAGAACTGTCAGTTTGCAAGCTTGTATTCAAGATACTAAACGTAAGATCTAGCCCCTTTCCATTGTTCATTGACAGCAATGATTGCCATCTGAATGAATAGCACTTGTTGGGTTTAGTCAACCTTCAACCTTCAATTTATAGAGCGTTTTCACGTGACGTCACAGCGGCCATTATGGGATACCAAAACAATACATTTTCTATCCTCCAGGAATTGAACTCTATTTTTATGCAAATACTGTGCAGAAAGTTTCTATTGTTTATAGCTGCCTTCTCACGTGAGTGAAAACGCTCTAAAATATAGATTGATACGATGATGTGTGACAGAGGAACAAATATTAGTCAGACTGCTAGCTTGATAAATTGCACTTTTCTAGACATCATCGATAAAGAATATCAAGAAGAAATTGAATTTAGAATATATTGAATATATAAAAGTCAACTTCTAAATCTCAATTGGAATTCAGTGGATAGAGTCACTCTGTGAAGTGCCACTGTTACGATCCTCTTAAAGTATTTCATCCAATTTCTACGAAAACCCATCCTTGCTAAGACATCACTAGCTTGCTATTCTTCAAAACAGGACTGTTTTCAGTCATCGATACAGTTCGTGGGTCTATCAACCTTCCACCAATTATACGGATAAACATTTCGTAGAACCAACATAATGTCACGAGGAACATATATCTCAAAATCTCCAAAGCGTGCTTTAGGTAGAGACCCCTGGATAGCACTAGAAGGAAAGGACGAAAACAGGTTATAGTTGATGGGAACAAGCCACGTTTCCCAGCCTGTCCTTTTCATCTTGCCGCTGTAGTCGTAAAAAACAAAGAGGTCGACCCAACCATTTGGGCAAAGATCGCTGTTAAAAACGCCAATAATTGCATTGCGATCTAGCCTCTCTTTCAAGATAAACCCTTTGGAAGTGAATGCAGATAGAAACTGTTCTCTTGTGAGTTTTGAAAAATTATCGTCGTCGCCAGACAGCCCTATATCAACGTCTTTATCCCATGGTAAAGGATTGTGGATTTTACGTACGATTCCCCACAACGAACCGAACATCAACCAATGTTTGATACCAAGTTCCTCAAGGATATCGTGAACTGCATGCGAGATGTTTACAAGTTGAGCAATCTCTTCTTTGGTTTTGTGACATCTAACGGGAGTTTTTCCTGGACTGCCAACGAGACTAGAAAGCTGAAGATTCCTGTACATGTAATAACAAAACCCTGCCAGCAGTACTGTATATATTATTTTCCTTTTCCTATTCCAGGATCTTCTCATTATTAAGAATAAGGAAAAATGAAACGCTTTAGAAATAGCTAGTGCACGTAGTCTCCTTTTCACAGACGTTTTTAGTCATCACGCAAACTACATGGGAAGATACACATACTAAGTTTGGCAGAGAGTGGACTGGAACATACATTATTTTGCGCGAGCGTATCGCCTCTGACCTCTTTTATAAGTACGGTAGATGCATACGTATCCAAAATAGACGCGCGGTAAAAGTATTTTACCGACGGTACAGATGGTGAAAGTAATTTATATGTAAAATCTACGAAATCATTATGAAAGTCATTAAATTCAAACGCACGCGTTGATTAGTAGAATTGGTCACCCTTTGGTAAAGCGTGCGTGATCTGTGTAAGTTACAATGTTAAATAATCATTGCAAAATAAATAATTTGATAAAGGTATACTTTTAGGCATACAATTTAGTAAGAAAACTAGTTGTTTTTACTAGATTTTTTACTAAAAAAATAAATAATAATTGAAAAATAATCGACTCTTATGTATAAACACGGTAGACAGCCAATAAACGCACGCATTGTATATAAAAATACGGATACGAAAGCCAAAAAATTATGTAGCCCCCGTAGATTTACGCGAAGGACTACAATGAGCACGGGCCACGCGCTACATCATTCGTGTAAGATAATGAAACATAAATAATCCACTTCTAGTTCTTGTTTAGTCTCAGCTTGCATGCTTCAACTTTCCTAATTTTTCCATTCTTAGTTTTTGGCAGGAAGCATACATGGGTTGTGTGCTCGCCTCTCACCAATGCGATCTGGATTCGATTCTCGGACTCGTCGTATGTAAATAGAGTTGATTCTCTGGGTTCTCCGGTTTTCCTCCCTCCATAAACTTCTGAATTGTAATTTGGTCTAGAAAGGGTCTGGATGAAAATTACTGTGTAAATCTAGTTACCCTACCAAATTGTGTAATTTTGTTGTTGTACCGTATTCATAAAAATATACTAGTTGTTTGCTGACACGTTATGCATCTTTTATGATCTRATATTCTAAAATTCTAATGGACAAAGTGCGTTGCACTATATCCACAGGGAGCCCAATTTAGATCAAACTTAAAGGTAATGTTAATTCTAACAGTAAATAAACTTGTAAAAAATCGATTTTTTTTATTCGAGGTCAAGATGGTGTCCTCCGTAATACGAAAGAGTGAAAAAAGATTCAAAATATGCACTCGCCTATGCTTTCCTCATGATAATTCCCAATCTGATATCCTTTGTCGTCTGACCTAAGCTATTGACATAAGTGCCTCTCAAATTTCATGCTCATGAGCCAAATTGAAATGTTTTATGGGTCGTAAGAAACAAATAAAGAAATACTCTTACAAGAGAGCAACTAAACTCCAACTCCACAAAAACTTGACCAAAAAGAACCCAAGGATGGGGAATTCATTTTTTCGCTCCTGGAGCGTGCACTGGGTTGCCCAATGTGCTGGTATGCTGGAGCTTATTTAACACCTAATCTTTGTCATGTACCGCTATTTGGCAGGAGCGGGTACTTTGGAACAGTTTAGGTGTATTTTTCTTTCAGAATTTCCGAACACTTATTTTTCTCACATCAAATCGATTCMAAAGTGTACACCTTTTAAATGTGTTTTTTWAAATAAAATTGTACCGCTTTTGTATAGTGAAGTGGAATGACATTCGATTAGCAAAACTATACAGATGCGGGTTTGTGGCGAAAAAAATATACTTCAATGTACATGGCCAAATTGTGAAGCGACATAAATTCGTTTAGAATATGTTTTTAAAAATGGTTATTTGTTTTTGCTAACTGTTCTGAAGTTGTCGATCTCTCCATGATCGATTATATTCTTCAAATATTGTCTTTTTAAATATCCAAACCAGTGAGGTGGAACTGTGAAACTCGGTTAGTACTAGGATTCACGCCCAAAGCTACCAGCTCTATTACCGCGTAGTATTTAACGATATATTTATGTATATGCCTTTAAGATTAACTAGAGACTGAAAGCCGTCGTGTTTTCCTTTAGGCTCTACTAACCTAACCCACTCCATTGAAGCCAGAATACTGCCGACTGAGTAGCTGTATTAATACTAATAAATATCTGAATTATAATCCTAGAAATCTTCTTTTACTGCTCAATTATATTACTTCTAAAGCCCGGAATTACATCCTCAGCTGCTAAAGCCAATCTATGAGCCCAGAATCTATAAACACGTCATTCAAATCCATATATGGGTACTCTTGCGCAAGAATGCACTTTTCACGATTACGACTGGGCTACCACAGGCAACCCAGTAATGATAGATGAAGTAGAAGTATGCAAGAATCTTGAATTATCAGGTTCTGGAAGGGTATTCTCGGGAGCCGGGAAACGAATAAAATACAGCGCGGGATCCGGGAATCTAGAAAAAAAGCTTACTAATTGATTCGAGATATTGGCACCAGCACTAACTCGGGAATTGCTGAATTCAATGTCCTGATGTGAGATTTTGCTTTCTGATTTTCGGGAAAAACGTGAAAACAATTACAATACAAAATAAATATTCAAACGCCTTTGGATTTCAGGAAAAAATAGCGCGTGATTTGGGATCCGGACCCTGGATTATGTACAAACAGTTTCAAATACTAAACACCATTGTTTTCATAAGACTGCAATTTAAATAAAAGTGAGCGCTAAGATTTTAACCAAATTTTCAGAATCATGTATTAATAACCTGATCTTAAAAAAATGGGTGGGGGGGGGGGGGGGTGAGAAAAATTGTAGAACAAGGCTTGAAATTGAAATATAAAAAGTGACTGCTTTGGCGACCGTCCATAATTGTTTTTCACGACTGAATTACCAAGTTTCGATAGGTAAAATAGCAAAAATATTGTCTCTTTTCGTATAAATCGAGTTCATTTTGTGCTTCACGAAAAATTTCAAAATGCACTATTTTTCAAGTTATAATTCACACTTATTAAAGCATTCAGTCGAGGCTGCAAGGTTCAAATGGAATGATCCTTTGAAAGTACCTTGTAGCCTCGCTTCATTGCTTTGTGTTCGATCAGTAAACTGATGTATGGAAAATGGTGAATTTTGATTTCTGCAAAATAAATTTTCAAAGTAAGGCGCCTCCTTCACGTCCCTGTGAACTTTCGTGGATGTCGTTTTATTGTATAATAACAATAGTCTAAGGGGCCGTTTACATGATACCGGAATGATTTCACTCCACTTAACGAGGATGAAATGTCATACCGCGTTTACACGAGAAAAATTCCCAATACGAGTTGAAGCTTGAAATGTTTCACACGTTGCTTCCCAGAGAGCGGTCTTACTCCGGGATGAGTGTTCGTACCACGTTCACATGGTGAGCAATATGAAATATCGTTCCAGAACGAGCATCTTGTTCCGGAATTAAAACCGGGATGAAAATATTCAGGAATGACTGGTTCCGGAATATAGGACTTTTGCAACAGTTAGTCACGTGACCCTACCCCCTTAAAAAGAGAAGTTGTGTTAAAACAACATCATAAATGAAAACGGCACCTAGATATCACTGTAGTAAGAAGGCAAAGTCTTAGCTCATAATGTTGACTATGTGCTAGATGGCAAGCTTTGCCTGTACGAATCACGCGATTTTGTGTTTAATGTCTAGATTTAAAGTGCTTATAAGCCTTTACACAATATTTTCAGAATTGATTCTTTAGATAGTGAATAGTTGATTGTGAAAATATTCCGTCATTTGAATGTTGGGTCTTTGAGATAAGAAGGTTAATATTCCCAATATGTTAATGACCATGACGTAACATAAGGGATTTGAGTTATTTTGTGGCAATTTTTAATATTGAACGCTGGACATTTTTTGAAAACAAATTTGTAAGAACCTTTACATGAGTCACGAGTAAAAGGGTGATGATTTTAAAATACTGTATTCCAGAACGAGTGCAGTGTTGTATATATTAAATGATCCGGCTTATGTTAGGTCATAGTCATTAACATATTGGGAATATATTGGGAATATAAACCTTCGTATCTCAAAGACCCAACATTGAAATGACGGAATATTTTCACAATCAACTATTCACTATCTAAAGAATCAATTCTGAAAATATTGTGTAAAGGCTTATAAGCACTTTAATGTTATTATGCTGAAATTCCAATGATGTTTAATTCATAATTCTACGAATTCTGCTTCCGTTTATGTTTGCGTTTCATACTTTATTTCATCCAATTTTTATTTATATGTTATAACTTATATGTGTGTATCGATATTCATTATACCTTAATCATATCTATTAATTGTAAACTTTATTTTCGTCTTTTGGTTTTTATTTGCATCATAATATTGATATTTGATAAAGGTACTTTTAGGAATACAATTTAATAAGAATACTAGTTGTAAAAGACAACGTTTCGCTGTCATCTCGACAACATCATCAGGTCTAATGAAAACTGTAAACTCTACTATATTGATATTATTGTAATAATAGATGTCTGTCTTTCCTTTTAACCTGCCTCGAATAACTTTAAGCTACTTGCAGGTAAAAGTGTAATTACTTATAAGTCTATTAATTCTATTAATTAAGTCAATTGATTGAAAACAATAAATGTCAAATGTCATTTCTCCTATAGTCACAACATTCATTATAAACTGAAACTTTTCTTACAAATATTGTGGTGCTCTTTTCAGTTTTGATGTTCATTTTGACACAACGTCTATTTCTAAGGGGTCAGGGTCACGTGACCAACTGTTGCAAAAAGCTTTGCTCTGGCATCATGTAAACGGATACAAAGAAATATATGGCAACCGGGATGAACTCGTTCTGGAACGAAATTTACTCCGCGGTATGTATCATGTGAATTGACACTTGACAAAAGGGGTGACGACAACGAATGTTAGCCATTCATCGGTTAACACAAATCAATAGAGTAATGATATTTTATATTGGTAGACATAGAATACATTTTAAAACGTATGTGTTTACATTTAAATCTTCATTAGATCCCTATATCAGTTATAAACCGAGTGGTCACGTCTTAAATGAGGATGAAAAAAACAACAGATTTTCATCGGGAAACGCGATGAATGCGCTGTCGGACACCATTCATTAACTCACAACCTCAACAAAAAAACAAAAAAACAAAAAAAAAAAAAACAAAAAAAAGACGGGATTTGCTTATTTTTATTTCACAACGAATATTTCTAATCAAAATGGCGAATGGCAAACTCGTGGATGCCCTTCCTACTTGTACTCTTTAGAAATTTGGGTTCCCTGTGTTCCTCACGCTGACAAGAAAGTTGCGTTATGCATATTCAATGTACATCATATCTTGAATTCGGATTTTTTCGCTGATTTTTCTACATAAATTCTAAGAATTATCTTGAACGCCGTAAAAAATTATTTTTAGCTCATTGTCATTAAAGAAAATTTAAACATTCCTTTTTGTGCTTTCAGTTATGTTCATTTATAGTACACTTCTCCAGTTTAGGAGCCTAGTTTTTATTTGATGCAGGATGCATCAATCTTTCCTCCATTCTTTTGATATAAATAATCCGAAGGTAAAGCTATGTTCGAGTGTGAGCATGCTCAGTGCCAGCCTGCCCTGGTGCTAGTCATCCCACATCGATAAATAGCATTCGAGCTTCTTGTATAAATACTTTGTCCAGTACCCTTTGTTGGATAAGAAGTTYGTACGTGTTTTTATTATATGACCGTGAATCTTAGAGCCTGGACACTAGCATATCGAGCAATCTGATTGGATAGATCGCATCGCGGACTAGATTAACCGGTCCGATCGCATATTTATCTTATGGCGAAAACATTTTGTCCTTTTCAATGAAAAGTGGTCATATAATAAAACTCTTATCAACCGAGCTTGGTCGGTTTGTACGGGATAATCTTGACCTCGGTCAAGATTATCCCGTACAGACCTCCCGCTCGGTTAATAAGATCTAAATATAAAGTGCGAAAGTTTCGCGTAACGTTGTAAACAGATGACGTAAGACGATTGATAAGCGTTTAATTATCGATCTGCTAACATCTTAGTGAGTGAGTGAGTGAGTGAGTGAGTGAGTGAGTGAGTGAGTGAGTGAGTGAGTAAGCGAGTGAACATTTGCATATTCAGACCCCTAACAATTAGCTCGTCTCTAACGAATCCGAGTGAACATTGTGAGAAAGTAAAGCATAGCAACATGAAATTTTGAACTTTGCTCGAAAAATCGCCTATATCTTTTGCGAAATTACGGTCGCAAATTGGAATTTCGCGGACGAAGGAACTGCGCTGGAGAATCCTGAGAAAAAATCCTAGATATCCGAAGGGAGAGACGTAAAGAATTCTGCCTCACATGTGATGCCGAGTCAGGAACTACATAAGTATGGACTATGTATAAAAAAAGAGGCTACGTGGTCACGTGACTTAAGCTCAGGTCAAACGTCGAACTTCACGTATGAGCCGAACCTAATTGAAACAATGGATAATAAGGCGTCGACGTTTGACGCATAAGCCTTGAGAGGTTAGCGGCGGGAGTATAACACCACGTTACCCTCGATTTCCTGGAGTTTTTTCCATGCTAAATTCTGTGATGAATCCGTGCCCTTACATCGAGGGTCAGCCTAAATTTGATGCGTGGTTTTGATCTATTAACGTTTCTTGTTCATGTTTATTTTCCATCACTTAAATTTGTACTTATATTTACCAAGTTTTTCAAGAGTTGTTCGTTTCGTGCTTTTTCGTGTTTTAGGGTTTCCTCTAAACAGCTTTCCTTTATCTTCAGTTCGTTTGCATAATCACTGGCAGCCTTAAGAATGGCAACCTTGGATGCCTTGTCTTTCCCGGCCAAGTCAGGTATAATTTCACGCAATTTCTGGAACCTGTTATTCAAATCGCTTCTCCGATCTCTTTCCAGCTTGTTCCGAAGTACTGGCGAGCTTTCCGCTGTTGAAGAGTTTTCGCTGTTTAGTGTTTTATTTTCCAATTTATTAAGCAATTTTTGTCGTTTTTCCCGTTGTTGTCTCGATTCATGGTGTTTTCGCTTCTTTTCTGCTCGTTTTTCTTTTATTAAAGCAATATCGATTAATTTATTATCCGCTAATTTTTCTTCGTGCTTAATCGATGATTGCTCGGAAGCGTCGTCGGCCGTACCGTTCAGTTCTCGGGACTCTGGGATTTTGGCAACACAAATTGAAGTACATGAATTTGATGGCTTAATTTCCTCTCCCTTAACAAACACTTCGTCATCAATTGTTTGTTGTTTTGGGGCAGTCGCTGGAAACTGAAAAACTGATCGATTTATCGACTTATCCAAGCTTTCCAACGAAGCCGGTGTAAAATTATCAGGCAGGTAAATCGACAAGTCATCGGAAGACTTTCGCGACGAGCAGCATATTTCATACAAAGTCGTAGGAGTTTTAATCACCGGTGATGTATTCACAGAAAATAGAGGCGACAGAATTTCTAAATTATCGATTTCTGATATGGAAGTTCTCGGTAAAAAAGGGCTCCTTGGAACTGAGTCGTCCATTCTCTCACTCAATGCTACATTGAATGAATTACTATTAGACTCGTTTGCTAAACTCACAGTAATTTTAGGCCACGATAAGTGTAAATCCTTAAAATCTCTCTGTATTTCCAAGCTAGGAAGTGTCTCTTTTGTTGTATACAATTCATCTAGATCTGGTACAATTTGTAGGCTTTTACTCAGCTGGGAATTCAAACTGCTTCTTTGGATATCCTCTTGAGCGAGGCAAGTCCCCACGAATCCTTCACTGTTTTTATCCATGTTAAGAAAATCATCAAAATCAAGCTGGGATATCAGAGAAGCACGTCGAAATGAAGCTGGCGAACGCGGACTTGGAATCATCCCCAAACACTGAACTCAAAATAAGATTTCTAATGTTTCAGTTCCTCTTCTCTAGGGAAATGCAAAGAAATTCCAAATTAATGAATAAACTGTTGTCTTTGTTTCTTCTACGAGTCACTGACGATAAATAATTTTCTTTAAAAGCGGTAAATTATTTTTTTCATGGAATTCTTACAGCAGCAGTGAATTTGTGTTTTTCAAACAAGCGTTTTTACGGCATCCCAAGTCTAATAGTACCTGCTATTTCTTGTACGTATTTGATGACGTCAGCTCTTGTTTACAGACTGATTTTGAATATTAAATCACACCGTTTTTCTAGACATTTCCATAGCTTTGGAAATTAAATTTTAAAAATATCTTTCATGGTCCATCTAGTCTAAATTACAGAATGCAGTGCAAAATAGCCTCCTGGAGAGTGAAGCAGAATGGTTTAGAAGCAATGGAACTAGATTATGCCTCATTTAAAATGATAATATTTGCATACAAATGAGTGAAGAAAGACCCAACTGAACCAATACTGTTGCCTAGCAGCAGCACTTATCTGTTTTGACATTTTACTTAAAAATCATTAAAAAATCTAGATCACGCGTCTACTTGAAAACACAAGCAACCTGTTACATACGAGGGAGGAAGAGAAAAATATATAAGAGAAATTTTCTTACATGTAAGGTGAAACCTTGTTTTAGCCTCATAGAATCTAACAGACCAGAGTGTGGGTTACCTAGGGTTATTGCTATTTTGATGGAATATTTTTCCCCCTGCTTTGTTAAAAACCTGAGAGAAATAGATCCTTTTAGCTTGGGCATTGTGTTGGCTACCAAATCAGACGTGTCATTTCCAGAATGAGCCATAAATTTGTATATGCAACTAGTACTCATGCCAAGTCAAGCTAAAATCAGATTAGAAGCAATTTGATAATCTCGTCCTTTATGCTTCTTCCCTGCAAAGCATTTTCTGGCTGTTCTCCTTGCTTTCTGCTAGAAGCTTGGAAATTCACCTTTTCGGCGCTAGCCGTCACGTGGTATAAATTGTGTTTGATTGTGTTACGGTCACCTGAGAAGTTCGGATATCGTTCTCGGATTCCCATACAAATTCACTGAGTTTAAAGAGAAAATTTAGATAGATTTCTTTAGTTAGCTCTCTCAACAGCAGTAAAAAAAGCTTCAATCAAGCTAGAAAAATGATATTTTACTTGTATTTAGAGAGCTAACTAAAGAAATCTATTGAAATTCTCTCTTTAAACTCAGTGAATTTGTATGGGAATCCGAGAACGATGTCCGAACTTCTTGGTGACCGTAACACAATCCAACACAATTTATACCACGTGACGGCTAGCGCGGAAAAGGTGAATTCCTGAGGTGCAATGCTCTGAATTATATTATTTGACAATAAGTTAACGGAAATTAAACTGACCCAGTTCCATTTATTGTCCAAACTTGGTCACATGTTCACTTATCAGTAATTTTTATGTGTTCTTTTTAAGGGTCTGTTTAAAGACCCATTGCCACTTACCGTGATGCATCACAGTTTGTTTACATTTTGAATCGTGTCACCACTGAAAAAACAATTCTAACCTTTTGAATAAACTCTTAAAAGAATGTAAAAGAATCATTATTGTGCCTTAGTGCTATGTCGGAAAAGAATTTAATATGAAGTTATTATTCAATATGTGAATCTTTGAATTTCATGGACCACGAAATTCATCTGTGACCGCGGTGCATCACGGTAAGTGGCAATGGGTCTTTAA